GACTTTGTATCCCCCAAAACTGGAGTTATGGATAGTTGTGGGTCGTCATATGGTATTAGGATCCAAACCTGGATCCTCTCTCTGCAAGAGTATTATGTGCTCCTAACCAATGAACCATGTTTCCAGCCCTCCATCTGCCAGTTTTTAAGTATGAAATCTCATGTGGCTGGGGTGGTACTGGAAACAACAGTGTGCTGCTTCAAAGAACGCAGAGTGGGGATGCCACAAAGAACGCAGAGTGGGGATGCCACAAAGAACGCAGAGTGGGGATGCCACAAAGAACGCAGAGTGGGGATGCCACAAAGAACGCAGAGTGGGGATGCCACAGTTAGATTTAGACTGTCCCAAGGCCCATGGTTAAAAGGTTGGTCCTCAGGAACAGCGAGGTGCCTGAGCAGGTAAAGGGGCTTGCTGCCAAATCTGACAACTTGAGTTCAATCCCCAGGACTCGCAAGCAGACAGAATGACTCTTAGATGTCCTGTAACCTCCAAAAGCATGCATACACACACACACACACACACACACACACACACACACACACACACACAATCAAATGTTTGGTTTGGCATACACACAAATGTAAAAAAAAATGGTAAGAAGCAGGGCATAGTTGGGGAATTTAGGCATCAAAACGGGGAACTGCACTGTCAGGGCTCCACCCCCTCTCCTGTTTATACCCAGCTATGGGATCTTACTCCATGCACCAAAGCCATAGGGCCCTGAACTGAATGCTCCAAAACTGTGAGCCCAAACCAACATCTCCTCTTTTTATGTTATGTTGGGTATTTGTTACAGTGCTGGGAACTAGCACTGAGTCACAGCCCTTGATCCGTTCCTTCCAGCTCCGAAATTTAAGGCCTTTTTTTTTGGTTTTTTGAGACAGGGTTTCTCTGTGTAGCTTTGGAACCTATCCTAGAACTCGCTCTGTAGTCCAGGCTGGCCTTGAACTCAGAGTTCCAACTTCCCTTGCCTCCTGAGTGCTGGGATTAAACTACTGCCCCGTATAAGGGCTTCTGTACCTGTGAAATCTCAAACTGCTCTTAAAGATCTATAGCCTAACAAGAGTGTCTTCCTTGGTTAAACAAGCTGAAGGGGAGAGTCTGGAAGAACTCCCGAAGTAAACGAGGAATTGCTCAACATGTCCATACCTTTACAAAGCGTGGCAGCTCTGCTGTCTTCCCTCCCTTCTGCCTAACTAACTCATCACTGACTGGGTAGCTTTTGTCAACTTAACACAAGCCAAAGCCATCTAAAAAGAGGGAACCTCAGTTGAGATTAGCGGTCCTGAGACGCAATGAGACAGGGTGTTAGAGGGCCAGCTAAACAGCTCTTTTCATATTTTCCCCTGTAGTGGCCTTGAGTCACTGAACATGTGACAGACTCAATTTACACATGTTTTCTCCTGGGATGAGTGCTGTCCTGTTCTGTACAGGCCATATGGGTCTGTGCTGAGGCTGTATTACAAGGGCACGGTCAAGGGGTCTCCCTGGGAGCAGAGGGCAGCCTCTGCCCTGTGATCTACCATGGCCTTTTGGCATCTTCATTGGAAGGCAATAAATAGGCCTTTGCTTGCTTGCCAACTGGTGGACCATTGATGATGGGAATTGGCTCCCCCAGCTGATTCATTTTCCCCATAAAGCAGGGTGGGGATGGCACCCTGGGGAGGAGCCCACCCTCTGTCCTTTCCTGATGTTGGTGTTTCCGTAAATCTGGGGCTGACTTGAAGCCAGGATGAGGAATAGAAATTACAGAGAAGGCTGTGTTTACAGGCCTATGCTCCAAAGCAAAGCTACAATATCAGCGCCGTCCATCTGCAGCTCAAAGTGGGAAACAGATGAGGCAGGTGAGCTCTGTAATTAGAGGCTGAGGTGAGCCAACAGAGGCCTCCACAGGTCCGGGGAAACCTCATCAGAGGAAGTCTGCCTCAGGAATAAAGGGTCCTGGGTTTGTTTTGGAAGAAGAGACTGGGGGTTACATCCTGGCTCCTCCTACAAGGGACCTGGCGCTGGACTGGACCATCCAAATATTAAAGCTACGACTGCATGTTGTGGGAAGGGCAGGTTTGGTTTACCAGGACCACATCCTGTGCTGGGTGGCAGCTTTACACAAAGCAGGAAGGTCAAGTTTGCTCAGCTTTCTCTCCTGAGCAGGCAAATTAGCAGCCAGAAGCAAGGCCGACAAACACAGAGCAAGTCCCACTGACGTCCTCAGGCCCTTTGGGGGCAGATTTCACCCAGAATGACCATTTTTAGTGGGCAGGGAGCCAAGCCACTGAAATTGTGTTGGTGGTGGAACAGTCTGTGGAGAGCAGTCTCCCAGATGAAGAGGCACAGAAGGCAGGAGCAGGCGAGGAGGCACCCAGTTCTCAGTGCTCTGTCATCCTTGTGGTACAAGTGCAAAGTTGGCTTATGCCATTTAAACCCCAGTAAACCCACTTACTGTGAGGTGTTTCTCAGCACAGTGGCAACAAATTTCTTACCCCTCAGGTTTGTTGTGGACCCCCACACTGCCAGTCAGGCTGAAAACAACCTGTCTGTCCCTGTCTCTCTATTGGCACATGTCACCAAGCTCTGAACCTTTATGAAGACTGGGAAAATACATTTAAACAGCTTGAATTATAATTGAAACAATTCTATTAAGATTGCCTTAATATTTCTTCATGGGGAGAAAAAGGCCAGAATTAGATTTTTATATTTTAGATTTTTGAAGCAGAGTTTTGCTATGTCATCAAATCTAGCTTCAAACTGGCAACCCTGTACTGGGATTGTGGGTGAGTGCCACCACATATGGCCTAAAATATTTTGTTTTGTTTTGTTTTTCAAGGCAGGATTTCTCTGTGTAGCTTTGGAACCTATCCTGGCACTCGCTCTGTAGACCAGGCTGGCCTTGAACTCACAGACATCCAACTGCCTCTGCCTGCCTCCTGAGTGCTGGGATTAAAGGCGTGCGCCACCACTGCTCAAATGGCTTACAATAATTTTAAAAGGGCCAGAGAGATGGTGCAACAACTAAGAGTGTTTGCCCTCTTCTAGAGACTCAAGTTCAGTTCCAGCACCATGCTACTATATGTAACTCCAGCTCCAGGGGCCTTGACACCTTTCTCTGGCCTCCCCAGGTACCTGTATATGCATTGGATGCACATATGACACATAAATAAAAATACATGGTTAGTTTTTTGTTTTTGTTTTTGTTTGGTGGGGGGGGGCTTTTTGAGACAGGGTTTCTCTGTGTAACAACTCTGGCTGCCCTGGAAGTTGCTTTGTAGACCAGGCTGCCTCTGCCTCCTGAGTGCTGGGACTAAAGTATACACATAATAAATGTCATTTTGGATTTTATACTTTTATTTGACTAATCCCTCCAGGTGTGTTAGGGGGATCAAATACACACATACCACAGTATGTTTGTGGAGGTCAGAACGACTTTGTGGAATCTATATGTTCCCTCCACCCTTCCAAAGGCTCCAGGGATGGAATTCGGGTCATGTGGTTTGCGTGCGAAGCGTCTTTGCCCCCTGAGCCATTTCTTCAGTGCTTTTTAGTTTTTTAGATAGGGTCTCATGTAACCAAAGTTAATTTGAACTCCTTGATCCTCCTGGGTGCTGGAATTAACAAACCTATGTCACCACGCCCAGCTATACAAGCCTTTTATTTAGTCATACTATAAATGGTGGGAACAAATATTTCCTTATACACTCACAGAACTGTCACTGGTGATTGGGATCTTGGCCAGTTGTTTTCCAGGCTCTAAGCATCTTAATCAAGAATGAAATAAAAGGTGCACACTAATTTCAAAGTAACAAGAATACTTTATTCAACCCAAAGCAATACTACAGACTGGAAAAGAATACGCTGTCAAGGTTGACACATGAATGACACAGGATTGACACAAGAGGAACACAGGAAGGAATTACTGAAGGCCCAACCTGTAGGCAGCTCCACGTAAGAACAGCTTCACATGCAGGTGCATGCTACCCGTTGTGAATTTAGTACCTTTCTGAGCTTCTACAGCCTTCTACATTTCCTCAGCTCCCTGAATTTTATGAGCTTGTCCCATCAGGAGGGAGCGTATTAATTTGGAGTAAATAGTCACATAATAGTGTGCTCAAATTTATGCAGGTATACATTTATTTGAGATTACCTGCCAGCTGAGTGCTCTGCCTCCAGATAGCACTCTGCTACTTTGTTTGTTTGAGACAGGGCAGGATATTGGATCATCCTTTAAGAGTCCGACTGGGCCTGCTCCATGAAGATCATCCCTGCTGGGCTTGAGGACTGCTGGTTTGAATGAGAATGACTCCCATAGGCTCCTGTGTTTAAATACTTGGTCCCCAGTTAGTGGAACTGCTTGGGAAGGATTAGGAGGTGGGGCCTTGTTGGAGGAGGTATGCCACCAGGGATAGGCTTTGAGATTTCAAAAATCCAGGTCCATTCTCTGTCTCCCCCCACCCCTGTGCCTGCTGCCTGCAGACCAGGATGTAAAGCTCTCAGCTATTGCACCAGCCGCATGCCCATCTGCTAGCCACCATGATAATCACAGAGTAATCCTCTAAAACTACAAAAAGCACCCAAAGCTCTCTTTTGTAAGAGTTTCCTTAGTCATGGTGTCTCTTCACAGCAATAGAACAGTAACTAAGACAACTGTTGACTTCCCTTTTGGAAGGAGGAGTTGGAGACAGTTGTGAGACCTTCACCTGAGCATCCATCTACCCTTCCCAATAAGTTGTATGCGATTCTGCCCTAATTGTATATAGCCTGGGGGGAGGGGCCTCTGGGAGGGGTTCAAGTAAGTAGGTGGGGACAGATGGTGAGAGGGAACTCTTCCCTAATCAGCTGTGGGAAAGCCATCATTCCTGCTGGGGGAAGATCGTCCATTATGGCTGCTTTCAGGTCACCTGTCCAGACCCTCGAGGCCAAATCAACGTGGACTATCCTGGGGGGAGACACATGAAGACAGGAGATGCGGAGAATGGGAGCAAGACAAACTGGCTGATGAAGCCGTTTATTGAGGATTTCGTGCAAGCTTATATAGGGGACCGTGACATGGGATGGGGCAGAGGAATGCAGGAGGTTGTTAGGTAGGAGGTGCTGAGGAATGAGGCAGGGGGCTGTCAGAGGCAGGAAACGTTTGATAAACGATGAGCAGGAGATTGCACCAAGGAGTGCAGGGCAGAAGATTGTCGTTAAAGAAGTGTTGCTAAGTGATGGATTATCTCCATGGTGCCAGGCTCATCCATGGGAAGGCATCTGAGTTCTGAGAAGTGGCCTTGGGCCGAGAAATAGAGAGTTATTGAGACCTGGTCCCTAACAGTCACCTATGCTGCTTCTGGCCATAACCACTCACCTGCTGCTCTGTAAGTAAGTCTAATGAACTCATTGGTTCCTCTAGGGGAACTCTGGTGAAATTATATCTTGGTTTGTTCTTGTGACCTTAGAAGGTGAAGTAGGAGTAGACAATGTCTACATTCTCCCCAAGAAAGGAATTTTAGCCACACAACTTTTCACAAGGTAGGTGTTGAACTCACTCTGTTGCCCAGGCAGGCCTTGAGCCTGTGATCCTCTTGCCTCAGCCTCAAAAGTATCTGGAATCCCAAGCCTATGTCTCCAGGCTGGCACATTATTGTTCACCTCTTTGTCTGAATTCTTGGTGAAATCTAACAGACCCCCAGCTTCCACCAACTCAAAGGCTAAAAATGCCATCCAATAACAGCTGAGACTGTACCTGCCCACCAATTTATTGTTTGTTTACTTGTCAGTTTTTATAATCCATGCATGATGGCCCACACCTTTGATCCCAGCACTCAATGGCAGAGGCTGGTGAATCTCTATGAATTTGAGGCTAATCTGGTCTGTGTCATGGGTTCCATGCTAGCCATGGCTATATAGGCAGAGACTGTCTAAACAAGAAAAATAATTTTTATTTGTATATATTTATTTCAGGTCTGTGTGTGTGTGTGTGTGTGTGTGTGTGTGTGTGTGTGTGTGTGTGTGGCGGGGAGGTACATGTGGAGGTCAGAGGACAACTTGCTGACACTGGCTCTCTCCTTCCACCATGTGGGTCTGAGACATTAACTCAGGCTGTCAGGTGTAGTGGCAGCCGTTCTGCCCATTCAGTGATCTGCTGGCTGGAACACAGACTCTGGGTGCACCCAAAGTCATATCTAAAAGCTGACTTTACCCCTAGCTGGCTGTAGCCTTTGTCAGTTTGTATAGGATTCAGTTTCTTTATTTGTGTTTTTGTTTTTGTTTTGTTTTGTTTTTTCGAGAAAGCGTTTCTCTGTATTGTTTTGGAGGCTGTCCTGGAACTCGCTCTGTAGACCAAGCTGGCCTCAAACTCACAGAGATCTACCTGCCTCTGCCTCCTGAGTGCTGGGATTAAAGGCGTGCACCACTAACACCCGGTTGTTTTTGTTTTTTAATATTTATTTATTATGTATACAGTGTTCTGTCTGCATGTATGCCTGCATGCCAGAAGAGGGCACCAGATCTCATTATAGATGGTTATGAGCCACCACGTGGTTGCTGAGAATTGAACTCAGAACCTCTGGAAGAGCAGCCAGTGCTCTTAAACTCTGAGCCATCTCTCTAGCACTCGATTTCTCTGTTTGTAAAACTGAATGGTCATTACCTCCTTTTGGAGTACTATGGAGTCAAATTGAACATATTGAAGTACCTAGGGCCTATAGCTCAGTCAATTGAACCCTGGGGATTCAATCTCCCGCACTCCAAAGGACAGACATGGTGAAACAGGCTTGTAATCCCAGCACTCAGGAGCTGGAAGCAGGAATTCAAGGCTACATAATGAGGTCAGACTGAGCTACAGGAAATCCTGTTTCAAACAACAAACAAATAAACAAATAAAATTAGAGGATGTAGAGAGGGCATTTAGGAACAAGGACTGTTCTTCAGAGGACCCACATTTGACTCCCAACCATGACTCCAATTCTAAGAGATTTGATGTCCTTTTTGGGGCTTTGAGAGAACCAGGCATGCACATGGTACACAGAGACACATCTAGACAAAATTTCCATACATGTACAATTAAAGAAAAAATTAAAATGAAATAAGGGTAGATAAGATGGCCCATTGGGTAGAGGTTCTTGTGTATAGACCTCACAACCTGAGTTTGGTTCTCAGATCCTACAAAGTGGCGGGAGAGAACCAATCCTTGACATGTGTCTCCTGACCCCCACCCAACACACACACCAAAACCAAGAACAAAATCCCTAGTGATGTCTCCTGCTAAAAGACTACATTTCCCAGTTTTCTTTGTGGACTATAAGAGGCCATAGCCCATCTTCCTCTCTAGGCATTTTGGTCATCAGCAGGAGTAAATGACAAAGATGTCCCCTCACCGTGAGTAAACGTGGTCAGGCCATGCCTTCCTTTCTGCCTTCTCTCTATATATAAGTACTTTTAAAAAATAACCTAACACCAGTATAGGTCAAGAAACTAATACATTCTTAATATTACTTATGTTTGTTTTGTGTGTTTATTTTCTATATAGCTGTTTTTAAAAGGAATTTGAGTACTATGTAGGGGACAAAGCTGGCCCACTGGCAACCTTTCTGAGTTCCTGGCACATTGCTAATCACAGAGCTGTATCTAAACAAGTTCAGGGACCCTCCCTCCCTCCCTCCCTCCCTGCCACCCTCCCTCCCTCCTTCCCTGCCCTCCCTCCCTGCCACCCTCCCTCCCTCCTTCCCTGCCCTCCCTCCCTGCCACCCTCCCTCCCTCCTTCCCTGCCTCCTTGCCTCCCTGACTCCTTTCCTCCCTCCCTCCCTGCCTGCCTCCCTCCCTCTCTCTCTCTCTCCCTCCCTCCCTGCCTCCCTGCCACCCTCCCTCCCTCCTTCCCTGCCTCCCTCCCTCCCTTTCTCCCTCCCATATTCTTCTCTTTCCTTTTTGCTTTCCTTCTCTTCATCTGCTCCTACCTCCCCCTTCCTTCCTTTTTATCTTGTATGTCTACATGTTCTTACATGTATGTACATGTACATGTACACATGTGTGGAAGCTAGATGTCAGCATCATCTTGTTCCTCATCGGATCTTCTTCACTATTTTTCACAGTGAAAAGCAGAAAATGGGGATTTATTTGATGTGACCACATTGGGAAGAAAAACAAAGAGATCTAGTGACTCCCCCAAGCCCATCTTGAGGGTAGGGTTTACACGTTAGTTTTTTTGTATTTATTTTCATTTAATTTATTTTGAGATAGGTCTCACCGTGTAGCCTTGACTGGCCTAGAACTCACTGAGGTCTGCCTCCTGAGCACTGGGACCGTACACCCTTGTGGGTAGGGTTTAAGTATGCATAACTACGATGTCCCCACAAGTGTGGTCCCCTGCCCACCATTGTCTCAATTCTAGGTCTCTCAGGTAATGTCAGTCTTTCCTGCAAGGTCAGTGACAACTTTTAAATCTTTGCAGCTCCTCTCAGGCCCCCAGGGTTCCCTCCATTTCCTTTCCCAGCAGGAGACTCCTAAGGAAATACTAATTTCTTGGGATCTGTTCTGTTACCAGGCTGAGAGTCAAAGAAGAGAACAGATTCTCTTTAGAACACCTTCACTCCTGCCAGACAGGCTGGGTACTCTTCCCAGTGCTTAATTTATAATGCTTCAGTTTGAGGTGAAATATGGTAGTGCCCGAGCCATAGCATAAACAGAACACAGGAAGGGGCCAAGCTCCATCATTCAGACAGTGTCAGGCCAGGGTACACAAGAACCGTTTCTGCATGGCCTTCTGCTTTTACTTACTTTGGGAAGGGTTGGCACAAGCAACCACATCTCTTCAGATACTCAACAAGACTGCAAATATATCTGTCCTGACCCTGGACATTGTTGTTCACCCTCTGAAGATCCCTCCATCCCTGAGTGGAGCCACATTCCTGAAGCTGGCCACTTGACCCTTCTTTGAAGCTAAATTGTCCTCAAGCTTCCTTCTAAGTCCTGTTTCCAAATTCCTGCAAGACTAAGAACCCATAACAGGAGTTGGGAGGCAGAGGCAGAGGCAGGCAGATCTCTGTGAGTTCAAGGCCAGCCTGGTCTACAAAGCAAGCTCCAGGACAGGCAGGGCTACACAGGGAAACCCTGTCTCAAAAAAAAAAAAAGAAAGAAAAGAAAAGAAAAGAAAGAAAGAAAGAAAGAAAAAGAAAGAAAGAGAGAAAAAAGAAAAGGAGCAGTGATTCCCCAATAAGTGCTTAGATATTAAAATGCATTATTTCATAACACAACACAGGTCATTCCCTCTCAGCCATTATACCTTTATCTTAAGTTGTGAGACAGCATCTCTTACCTGGAGCTCAGTGATTCACTTAGATTGACTAGCCAGAAAACCCAGCCCAGGGTATCTGTCTCCTGTTGCAGGACTTTACATAGGTCTTAGGGTCTGGGACTCAAACTCAGCCCCTCATGCTTGCAAAGCAAACACTTATGGACAGAGTCATCCTCATCCAGCTTTGTCTTAAGCAAGTAATCTTCACATTTTGGTTAGTCACATGACAAGAAAAACAATCTATTACTAGGGGGAAAAGGTCTTTTTAAAAAAAACACATCTATTATCTAAACTGGGATAAATCTCCTCGTACAACAACAACAATAATAAATCTTTCATGTATTTGTCAGAACCGTCTTGAAATATGATCCCAAAGGAAGAAAACGAAAGTCAGGGAGTTAGCCAGAGGTCAGCATTTTCATTCTAGAGCTGGACACAGCATGTGACAAGGCAGTGGTGTCTTGTGACAGGTACCAGCTATTCTTCCTGGGGCCTTGGGTATCCTCTAGCTAGAGAGGGACAAAGGACAATCTGTCCTTTGCTCAGAACAAAAGCCTTGACCTTACAGAAAGTACTGAGTCTTCATTCAGCTGCCTCTCCCTAGCCCAGCTCTGGGGAAAAAGAGAAAAGAAAAGGAAAAAAAAAAAAGACTTCCTGTTAATGATGGGGCTTTTGCTATTTCCAGGGACTCATGGGGTCCAGGAAAATCCATAAACTCTGCCCCCTCAGGATCCTCAGCTGCTGGGCTAGTGTAAGGACTCAGGCACTCAGTTAGTACCCTGGTTAGCCCAGGGCTCCTTGATTGCGTGGTCTGCATACAAGTGCAAAGGACTTTTAAAAAGACAGACCCCTGGCCTCATGTTATTTCCCACTCTCTCTCCTATCTCTTCCCCCCACCCCTGCCCTGCTGTTCCCCTGGGGCAGACAGAACTTTTCCTGCCTCCCTCATCTCTTTGGTCCTCTCTCTGTCTCTGTGTCTCTTTATCTCTTTCTTCTTTCCTCTCCTCCCTCCCCTTCCCATTCTAATAAACTTCTCACTTAAACTCTGTCTGCCTGGCATGTTTCTCCCTCCACCTATGTCACCCTCACCTGCCATGGAATCTGCCAAGGTCCCCCATGCAAGGTTCACCACACTGTCATAACAGCTAGGACACCACCGCTGCCCCCCCTTGTTATCATAACAGCTAGGACACCACCGCTGCCCCCCCTTGTTATCATAACAGCTAGGACACCACTGTTGCCCCTCCATGTAGCCCCAGGAAAGAGTGGTTTATAACAGAATCCACTCATCATTTAGAAAAACATCTATGAGGATAAGCATGCTGCCCTGGTAGAAATTACAATTGCAGATTAAAAGTGGTCCCTATCTACCGCCGGTCTGGATTGTTAGGGGCACCGGGCATCCTCACCTGGTAGCTGTTCCTCGTTGTATTGGGTCTCCGCTGTCTTCCTATGCTCTCATAGAAAACTCAGTAACTACTTTCAGGGGTTTGGAACATCTTGCGTTTTCCTAGATGACAATTCGTAGCATAATTAAAGTCGGGCTAGAGCTTCCTTATAATGCTTGTCTATGATTTGGGGTGACATTTCCTAAGGCTCTAGAGACAGGACTTAGGGTAGGAGTTTTCTTCTGTTGTGTCTGTCACAGAGGGGACACCGGATCCAGCATTGCCTTTAAAATTTGGTCTTGATGCACATGTAAACAAACACAGGCAGATTCTTACTGGATCTCTTTTCAAGGCAGACGTTTAACTTAACTCCAGGCTTCTCACTACCTCTAATACTGCCTGGTGCTCATCTTGGAACATTAGGGTTCTAAGCTCTACTTAGGAAAATCATAATGGCAATGACAATAAAAGTCCTTCATCAGGAACTGAAGGATGTCTCTTAGGGTACAGTGCTTGCTGCGCTGTTGGTCCAAACGGTGAGAGAAAACCACAATTTGAAGTAAGCTTGATTTTATATTGGGGCGCATCTAAGAGTTGGCCTGTGACTGCCTCCTAAATCGGGATAAAGAGAGAAGCCCTGAATCCATTTCTTGGAGCCCCTTTAGTGAGTAAAATCACTAGAAGTTTTACAGAAGGGAGAGAATGGCGCAAATAAAGAAATACAGAAAAAAAATCTCAAAACAGCATTATGTGGTCACCATGTGATTAAGGAGGGTTCGAGGAGAGCCAGGGGGGTAAGGGTATTCTCAAAAACAAGTCAAAGTCATGAGTTAGGGACATAAGTTTCCAGGAAACAGAGCAACTCAGTAAATAGAAATTGATTTCTAATAATACAGCACAATGTCTCCTGCCTTCAAAATGGAGTCAGGCAGGTTCCTCAGCACTAGCATGAGAAACCAGCTCACAGCCCCCAACATATATGTAAAAGCTGGGTGTGAAGCCTGGCAGTGGTGGTGCACGCCTTTAATTTCAGCACTCAGGAGGCAGAGCCAGGCAGATCTCTGTGAGTAGCTTGATCTACAGAGTTCCAGGACAGCCAGCCAGGGCAACCCAGAGAAAACCTGACTCTTAAAAAAAAAATAGCCAGGTGGTGGTGGCGCATGCTTTTAATCCCAGCACTCGGGAGGCAGAGGCAGGCGGATCTCTGTGAGTTCAACGGGCTGGACCGACAGCCTCCAAAACAATACAGAGAAATCCTGTCTTCTGTCTCGTAAAACCAATAATAATAATAATAATAATAATAATAATAATAGTAATAATAAAATAAAAAGCTGGGTATGGACACACACACACACCACATAAACCAAGCGCACTTCCATATTCAGCAAGAAGAACCTCTCTATAAGGGTCTGGAGAGAGAGATCAGCAGCTAACACTTGTTCTTGAAAAGGACCCAGGGTTAGTTCTCAGCATCCACATGGTGGCTCACAACTATTCATAACTTCAGGTCCAGGGGATACAATGTCTTCTTCAGACCTCAGCAAGCACCAGGCATACACATGTTACACATATGTGCAGATATATGCAGGCAAAACTTGCATAAAATAACTAAGCCTTTAGAAAGTATATTAAATAAGAAAATAGCATAGGAGTTTGATAGAGCACAGCTGACATCTATCTCTCTCACTCACTCACACACACACACACACACACACACACACTCGCACACATGCCCACGCTCGAGCATGCGTGCCCATGCACGTGTACCCTTCAGACATTTATGGAGATTACTGTACAGCACTACCCTCCAGGCATAACAACTACTGGATCTTCATAAAACCAGCTGTATCTGATTGTAAACGATCCTCACAGCTGGTCTTGTTAACTTTTGATGTTCTCTCTTGGGAAGGAGAGGGCCAGATGGGTCAGTAGACCCTCACTTGAGCATCTGGCCACCCCTCCCAACCAGTCATATGCAAGTCGCAAGTCGACCCTATTGAATTTGATCTTGAGTTCTCAGAGAGGAACCTGAGCGTGTAGGCAAAGAACAAAAGTTATTTGTCTTTTTAAGCCCGCCCCCCAGATTCTCAATGATGGATGGCTGAGCTGAATGCAATTTAATAGAATTACACTGGCTTCAGAATAACACAAGATTCAGATATGAATACACTTCACAGTATGGTATGAAGATTATTCATTAGTACCACTAGAAAATATCAGCTCCAACAAACACATTCTTTTATGAGCCACATCCAGGTGTAAAATCCATGATGTTATGTTTTCTGGGTATGGTGCTCAAATTCAAGACGAGCCTGGATTACACAGTAAATTCTAAGCCAACCTGGATCAACTCATTGCAGTTTTACCACAAAGTAAAAATAAAAGGGCTGGAGAAGTAGCTCAGTGGGAAAGCATGTGCCTAGCATGTACAAGGTCTTGAGTTAAATCTCCAGCCATTGTCACTCGTGTGAAAGAAACCTCTTGGGGAATATTAGATCACACTTTGAACTCCAAGTTTGCGTTTACATTAATTAAATAAAACTAACATTGGATCAGGAGGTTGAGTCAGCAACTAGTTGACAGAAAGTAATCTTAGAGCATCAGAGAACATCTGGAAGAGATAGAGAGAGATACACCGGAAGTAGTAGGTAGAAGTTTTGAGTGGAATGGGTTTTTTTTTTTAAGGATGTTCTGTTGAGGGGGAGACTCCTTGAAGAGAGAAGTTTGGCTAGGAGCTCCTCAACCTCTCTCAGCTAGCAAGTTTTCACCCCAGCCCTTGAGTCTCGAGTTTTATTTAAAATAGAACCATAGAGATTTAGTTAAAGCTACCTTTAGCTGCAGCAGTGCCTGTGGGAACAGAATTTTCACTAGGCTGTGGCCTGAGCAGCCAGGTTGCTGTTAGAGAAGCAGGCTAGTAACTGCGGTGTCACAATCGCTGGCTGACATAGCAGTAGATTAAGGTACAGCCTCTGTGCTGAGGTTAAAACAACAGGAACCGTGTGGTTGAATATCTGTGCTGTATGTGTGGCAGCGGTGCCTGGGATCAGGAGTCATAGTTTTGTGATATAAAAATGTGGAAGATGGGTGGTTGAGATGTTTCATTGATGACATGACTTGCCCCTAAGGCCAACAACCTGGGTTCAATCCCCAGGACCCACATAGTAGGAGAGAACCAACTCCTGTACCTTGCTCTCCCAAAACATGCCATGGGATGCCCACATCTTCCTATGTACAAACACAGTAATAATAAATAAAACTTTGAAGTGATAAAAGTGAGGCAGTTTTTAAATTATGACTGAATACTATGTCAGTAGTATGTCCAACAGAGACACCATGAGAACTTGAACTTAATCCTAAATTTAACATGGCGTTTAATTGTCAACAGACTCCAGGATCCTTTTAGAGACCTTTCCAACAGGCTTTGCCATCATATAACCACAGAGACACGCCTTTAAATCTCAGCCCTCTGGAGGCAGAGACAGGCAGATCTCTGTAAGTTCAAGGCCAGCCTGGTCTACAGAGCAAGTACCAGGAATAACCACAGTTACATAGCAACCCCATCTCCAAAACAAAACAAAACAAAACAAAACGTACACTTGTCAGAGATTTGTATATACCCTCCTCTCCGCAAACTTATGAAATCTCCCCATTGTGCTGATGGGAAACCAGAGGCAACCTGAGGTAAAGTAACCTAACTTGGACATCAGATACGGTCTAATCAGTTCTGAACTCAAGACACTGCATCCATGCCCTTTGGCCCCCGACACGCTGTATGGGAAATTGTCAGAATTCAAATCTTCCTCAGGCAAGCCTTAGAGCTGGGGGAGTCCACATTCTCCCACTTTTGCCCTTGTTTCTACTCGAGTCTTCCAAGGAAGAGAGCCAAAAATGTTCAGCACTTGACTACTGACCTTGAATACCTGAAGATGTTTCAGACTTTTCAGTTTAAGTAGTTCCAATAAACTTAAAATTCCTCCAAGAGATTGTCCCTTCCCATATCTTAACTCGCCCACATTTTTCAGGACATACTTTTATTTATTTATTTATTTATTTTATTACACATACAGTGTTCTGCCTACATGCCAGGAGAGGGCACCAGATTGAATTGTAGATGGTTGTGAGCCACCATGTGATTACTGGGAATTGAACTCAGGACCCCTGGAAGAGAAGTCAATGCTCTTAACCTCTGAGCCATCTCTCCAGCCCCAGGACATACTTTAAAAAAAAAACAAACAGTTTTCCTATATTACAAAGTTCCAAAGTGTATAGGAGTGTCCTCCAGTTAGGCCCTCGTGATGCTACCTATGGGAAAAAGAGTCAGGACTTTTTCTTCTCATTTCCTCACTAACATTCCAGCTTCAGCCCATGGCGGAGGTATATGTCTGAGATACAGCACTGTGGAGGCCAGGCTGGTTCATAAGCCAACTTGGGGGTGCATGGCATGATCCTGTTAAAATAGAAATCCAGAATCACATTGTTTCTCTAGATTTTCTCTCTCCCCCTTTTTCCCTAATTTTTAAATTTTATTTTATGTGAATGAGTGCTTCATTCACATGTATGTTTATGTACCACAGGCACACTGGTGTTCTCAGAGTTCTGTTGCAGAATATCTGTTTACACTGTAAAGATATGTCTCTGCCTAAGGTGCCTTCTGACTGGTTTAATAAGGTGCTAAGTGGCCAATAGCTAAGCAGGAAAGCTAGGCAGGATTTCCAAGCAGAGAGACACATCAGGAAGAGGCAGAATGAGTCTGACACACAGAATGGAAGAGAGGTAAAAGCCATGTGGTAGAACACAGATTAATAAAAAATATGGGTTAGTTTAAGTTACAAGAGCTAGTGGGACAAGCCCAAGTTAAGGCCAAGCTTTCATAATTAATAATAAGTCTCCATGTCATTATTTGGGAGCTGGATGGCAGCACAGAGAAAGACTCGTTACAGACATCAGATCCCCTAGAACTGGAGTTAAAGATGGTGACGAGTTGTCATGTGGGTGCTGGGAGTCAAAGCCAGTGCTCTACCAGAATAACTGCTGAGCCGTCTCTCCAGCCTGTCTTTCTAGCACTCACCTGCTCAGTGGTTCTGTACATGGGGTGGTTTTCACCCAAAGCCCTGAGAAGCTCATTCTCACTTAGATGTGTATGAATCTTGTCTCCTGGTGTCCATGGCAGTGTGAAAGGTCCTGGGGGTGGTTAGCCCTCACTGTCTGGATGGTAATAGCTCCTAATTTGGTATCATTCACTGAACACAAAATGCTTGGACTCGACCATACCACACAGGTCACCGAAGAAAGTATTTACACAAACCTCTTTCCCCATAAATACACTTTCTTGGCTTCCAGATAGCTCGGGAGTGGGGATCTGAGTTCACATTTTAATCCTTTCTGAGAACTGCCGCTAGTTGTCTGAAGTGTTTGCCTTTTAGGAAGAAAACAGTCCTGATTTGTTTCCAAATCTGAAGGAATACTGATGTTTGGCCACAAGTTGGCTCCTGGAAGACAACCAATGCTGGATTTATTCTAAATACGGGAGACAGCAGTTTTCTTTGGAAGCCACGCCTGGCTTGGCTGTGTGGAGAGGCCTCTACCCTCACTCTGCACACAGAGAGGCACTGCTTTTACTCTGGGCTAAGCAGAGAAACACTGCAATCTAGCAGCAGGTCAGGAACACGATGAACTGAAGAACTGGATGTTTTTAAACACAGGCTTCTGTAGTGTTTTGTTTATACCTTGTCCTCAAGAAAAGTAAAGACAGCCCTATTAAAACTTTGTTTATTTCATGCACATTAGTGTTTTGCCTGTGTGAGGGCATCAGATCTTGGAGTTACAAGCAGTGGATGCTGGGAATTGAACCTGGGTCCTCTGGAAGAACAGTCAGTGCTCTTATTCACTGAGCCATCTCTCTACCCACCACCTTTTTTAAAGGAACTTCTGACCTGGCTGATGGTTAGAATTGTCAGGGGAGTTTTGGCAAATGGAACTGGTTGATACAACTTAAACTATTGATCCACAATGTGATGACACTATTGAGGGGTGAGATCAGGATACTATTTTTGAAAATCCCCCAAATTGATTCCATTAATTATGGTGAAAGTCATAGAGAAGAAGAATACCAACAGTCACTCTAGAAATTAAGCAAATCTTAATATACTAATGAGAAAGAGCTTATATTAGCTATGCAGAAGGTCTTGTACGTTTCTGCTTGACATCAGTTTGTCTCGTGTGTAGAAATACATGTATTTGTCTTCATTCGGTTACTATCGCTGGGATGAGCCACCATGACCAAAAGCAACATGGGGAGGAAAGGGTTAATTTCACTCATCATTTCATATAACGGTTCATAATCAAAAGCAGTGAGGGCAGGAACTCAAGCAGCGCAGGAACCTGGAGGCAGAAGCTGATGTAGAAGCCATGGAGGAGTGCTGCTTACTGACTTATTCCTCATGTCTTTCTCAGTCTGCTTTCTCATAGAACCCAGGACCACCAGCCCAGAGATGGCACCATGCACAAGGGACTGGGCCCTCCTCCATCAATCACAAATTAAGAAAACGCCTTACAGTCAGATTTTTGTTTTGTGTTGTTTTTGTCTTTTGAGAAAGGGTTTCTCTGTGTAGCTTTAGAGTCCGTCCTGGAATCCACTCTGTAGATCTGTGCTGGCATTAAAGGCATGTGTCACTACTGCCCGGGCATACAGCCAGATCTTATAGAGGCATTTTTTTCAATTGAGGCTCCCTCCTCTCTGATGTCTTCAGTTTGTTGACATAAAACCAGCCAGTACAGTAGTGTTTACCACAATAACCCCTGTGAATTCACAAGTGCACCTGTGTGTGTGTGTGTGTGTGTGTGTACTGTGTCTATATAGATGCATGTTTTAGATTTTAAAAAATGAATCAGAAAGAAAATAATAAACAATACAAATCTATAAAGATGGGAAATAAAAATCAACTGATTGGGACTGTGAAGATACAGATGCAGGCAGTTAGCATGCAAACATGCTAATTGGATCCCAGAACCCATATTGTTTTTGTTTTTTGAGACAGAGTTTCTCTACATTGTTTTGGAGGCTGTCCTGGAACTCGCTCTGTAGACCAGGCTGGCTTCGAACTCACAGAGATCCGCCTGTCTCTGCCTCCTGAGTGCTGGGATTAAAGGCGTGCGCCACCAATGCCCGGCTCAGAACCCATGTTTTAAAAAGCAAAAGCTGGGACAGGTGGCGGTGGTGTGTGTCTTTAATCCTAGTACTCTGGAGGCAGAGCCAGGCAGATCTCTGTGAGTTTGAGGTTAGCCTGGTCTACAGTGCAAGTTCCAGGACAGCTAGAGTTGTTACACAGAGAAATCCTGTCTTGAAAAACAAAAACAAAACAAAACAAAAAAAGCTGGGCCTGGTGATATATACTTGTGATCCCAGCATCAGGAAGGTGGAGACAGAGGGTTATTGGAGCTTGAGGTCAGTGACAGATCCTGTCTCAAAAAAAAAAAACAAGGCCCATGTGACAACACGTGAGCTCATCAGTGGCCACTCTGATGATTAAGTATTAACTTTGTTTCTGTATTTCCTAGAGGCAGAAGTAAAAGAATCAGGAATGGCAGGTTATATATTCTTTTTCTCTGACTTGAAACAAGCACATTAATTTTTAAGAGACACATTCTTTCCCCCGGCGGTCAGTTCTGAGGAAGAAATGGACTTAGTCTCACAGTGTAACCACAGGGCACAAAGTTGAGTTCCCCATGGCTGAGCATCATGAGGCTCAGGGGTGTTCAGTTTAATGTTTGGTGATCCGTGACTTGCCTATTTTGGATCCTAAAGGAAAATTTTAAAGTACACAGCTTCCTGGACTGCTCTGACACCCAGTAGGGTAGAGGGCCACCCAGGAAGAATGACTTTAGGGTAATGAAGATAGTCACATGCCACACATGTGTGGCATCAAAGTTCAGCCCTGGGAAAATTTTTACTATCTGGGACTAATGTTGAAAATTCAGGGGCCAGCAAGATGACTTAGCAGGCTAGAGGCACTTGGCACCCAGCCTAGGCATTGGAACCTACGTGGTGGAAAGAGAGAACCAATTCCTGCAAGCTGTCCCCTGACCTCCACACATGCACTGTGGCACATGACTCAGAAGTTCAGAGAGCTTTCTGGCCTTCCTGAAGATCCAGGATTCCCAGCAACCCACACAACTGACTGTAACTCCAGTTCTAGAGGATTCAGTGCCTTCTTCTGGTCATCAGGCAAGCACATGGTGCAGACATACATGCAGGCAAAACACCCATCCACATACAAAATACAGATATGTTCTCAAGTTCTGTTATCTCTTGTTTCTGAAAAGCCAAACACCAAAACAGTTCAACAGCTAGGCATGGCAGTCCATGCCTGTAATCCTAGCAACATAATGCGTTTCTGGCCAGCCTGAGCTACATGAGACCCTGTCTTAAGAAACCTAACAAATGGACCAAACCCCAAATAACCGACAGCCAAGAAACCAGTGCAACAAAGATGAGCTCCCTGACCTCACACCATCTCTTAGCAAATGCATCTTGTGTCACAAATCAAGACCTCTGACCAACCTCAGTCTCCACTTTCTCACTCACCTGTCCTTGCTCAACCTGTGTCAGAGGGCTCCGCATCTATGAGTCTGCACATTGACCGCGCGATCCCACATTTGATGGTCACTTTTCTGTGACCATCCACCTCACCTACTCCCTATTTCACAGTCCATTTTTCTCTTCCTAACACCCCCATCCCCGCTCTCAGTGTCCCTCCTACTTCACTGGCTACTGGCACATTTTGGGGTTGGTTCGCCTTGTGGGAGCATGGAAGGAATCCACCACCTTTTTCTTCCCCAGCTCTGCCTCTTCTGATGTGTAGAGAGCCCTCACTTGGCCACTGTTGTCTACCTGCTTCCTCTCCTTAGCTAGTCACACACTGTCCTGTGAACAGTTGCTTCCAAGCCTCTATTTCCAGCTCGGATAGGTTCCTAGAATGTGACCTTTGAACAAAACCCGACTAATCTGCACATCCATGACCTGCTGCCATTCTGAAAGCCCCAGTTCAAAGGAGAGCTCAAGGCACTCTCTCCTCAGCTGCTGCCTTGTGTACTCTCCCCAATGAATACACAGAGTCCCCAACTATTCAAACCGGGAGATGTAATCATTCCTGCTTTCTCTCTGTTAGCCCAACAGCCAGGCAGTCCATCAACAAATCTTATCAACACTACCTCGTCCAGAGTCCATCGCTGGCTCTGTCTCCTAGGAACCTATGGAGATTCTAAATGTCTCCACTGACCATTCTCTGTTCTCCTCACCTCCAACCTAGATCCCACATAAAGAAATCCCTTCAAACACAAATTAGATTATGATCCTTGTTTGTCTAAAACCCTCCACCTTCTCCCCAGCACGTTGTGTAAAATCCTAACACCCTACGACCTACAAAGCCCCAATCATCTCTCCCTACTAACTATCATCTGTTGAGAAAAGCATGACCCATGTCTGCTCATCATAGGGAACATTCTTGGGGATTTGTGTAGCAGGTGCGCAATAAATCCTTGCTGTGAATCAATAAATCAGTGATTTAGAACAGTAGTTCTCACCCTTCCTATGCTGCGACCCTTTAACACAGTTCCTCATGTTGTGGTGACCCCTAACCATACAATTATTTTGTTGTTGCTGTTTCATAGCTAATTTTGCTACTATTATGAATCATAGTGTATACATCTGTGTTTTGTCTTAGGTGACTCCTCTGAAAGGGGTCATTTGACCCCTCAGATGGGTTGAGACCCACAAGTTGAGAACCACTGATTTAGAAGGACAAACTGCTGCAGTTTGGTTTCTTTTTTTTAACTTATTTTAGAAACAGTCTTTTTTCTAGATTTATTCATTCTGGCATGTAACATGGCAGAAGAGGGAACCAGGTCTCATTACAGATGGCTGTGAGCCACCCATGTGGTTGTTGGGAATTGAACTCAGGACCTCTGGAAGAGCAGTCAGTGCTCTTAACTTCTAAGCCATCTCTCCAGTTTGGTTTCTTGAGAGTATTTTTTAAATCTCATTCATGCTTTGGTCTGTGCTTACTGCAAAGAAGTAATTGGGAGAGAGTCCACTATCCGGCGGCCACTCACAGCCTGGCCCAAGCACAGCTCATGCTGCCAGCAGCACCTGAGGCCCTTGTCTGGGACTCTTACTCTGTTAAGGTTTACAAAATGGGCTGGAGAGATGGTGCAGCACTTAAGAGCACCAACTGCCCTTCCAGGGGATCTGAGTTCAATCCCCAGCACTCACATGGCAGCTCACAACTGTCTGTAACCAGTCCTGGGGATTCAATGCCCTATTCCGGCCACTCAGGCATTGCATCTACATGATGAGCACACATACATCCACTCAAAACACCCAAACCCATAAAATAAAAATGACAATATTCTAAAGAGAATTTTTTACTTTTGAAAACATGGTAATACTTTAGTGGGACTATCCCTAATTATTACTTACAGTGGTTCTATAAGGAGAAAGATTTCCGTCACCCACGATTTGGGTTACCCTGAGATACCATTTGAAAGGGAAATTACTGCCCACTGTTCTGAGGTTTGTCAGGTTTGAAAGAGCACAGGGAAAGAGGCAAATCTCAGAGAACAGCTGCGCTCCTCAGGAAGCAAGCCATCCAAACACCGGTGCTGGGGAGGGGCGGGGCAGGTGGGGCCTCACTCTCCAGTGGAAATGAGCAGTGGGGCCTCCGCTCCTGCCCTCACTGCTTTTGCATGGGCAGCCCACTGCTACGTCCTTAGTCTCTGCTCACATTCAGCCTTTCCTGCATGTTCTCTTTGGCTACCCAGCTGTGCCCTGACTTCCTCATTCAGCCCTTCCGCACAGAACCCACTTTAAATTTCTTGAGTTCCTCATAGACCCAGCAAGGCACAGAGCACGGATCAGGTCATCAACAAGGGACTGCCTATAATCCAAGGTGATAAAGACTCATTTAGCCCCACCACCCCCCAAAGCACTACAGTGTCTGTCTAAAGCCGTTGTTGTGGTCTGGACCCAGCTCTCTCTTTCCTTTTATTCATTTGTTTTTATTGTATGCGTGTGAGTGTTTTTCCTGCATGCATGCCTGTGCACCATGTGTTTGCCTGGTGCCTGTGGGGCCAGAAGAAGTTGCCAGGTTCCCTGGACCTTGACTTACAGGCGCTTGTGAACTGCTGTCAGTGAGTCTGGAACTGCAGCCATGCCATGGGGCCACCCACCCTCAGAACTGGTCTTCCATTCAGTTATGCCTTTCTGGAAACACCTTCACAGACTTCACAGAGGTGTTTTCCATGGAGATTCTAAATCTGGTTGACAGTGATGATGAACCATCCCACCCCCAGTGAGATTGGTTCCCATTTCCTTAATCCTGTGGATCCTTTTGTGGCATTCTGTCTTCTTTCCTGGAACTCTGGCACTTCCTGACTAATTTTCTGAATTTTGCATACATTAAGACTCACTTCTGGCCAGACAGTGGTGGCACATGCTTTTAATCCCAGCACTGGGGGGGAGGCAGAGGCATGCGGATCTCTATGAGTTCGAGGCCAGCCGACTACAGAGTGAGTTCCAGGACAGCCTCCAAAGCTTCACAGATTAAAAACAAAAAACAAAAAGAGGGTGGTGGTGGAGGCTGACAAGAGGGCTCAAGCACTCGCTGCCGAATCCTGTCAACCTGAGCTCAGTCCCCAGATTGCACACACTGCGGAAGGAAAGCACCTACTCCAAGAGCTGTGTCTGACCTCCACACAAGCTCTCTGTCTCTGTCTCTCTCAAACACACACACAGCAAATAAAAGTAAAAGATTAGCATGATAACAAGGTGAATAGCATCTAAAAAAGGATAGGGTGGTCCTCTGGCCTCCACATGCACACAAGTGCCATACACACCTGCACACACATAAACACACCTGCACACACAAGTGCCATACACACCTGCACACACAAGGGCTCCCTCCCACACACATGAACACACATGCATACACATGCACACACATGAACACACATGCACACACAAGTGCCATACACACCTGCACACACAAGGGCTCCCTCCCACACACATGCACACACAAGGGCTCCCTCCCACACACATGCACACACAAGGGCTCCCTCCCACATACATGAACACACATGCACACAAAGAAAAAAAACTAGTAACAGTAGGAAAATGTGCTTCTTAAGAGATTTCTAAAATTCTTTACTCATCAGTTATTAACTTTTAAAAGAACAGGTTGAGCCAAGAAATCTTCAACATTTTAAGCAGCTATTTTATGACAACAAATTTTAATCCTATATAAAGTGTTAAGACAAAGTAGTTTACTTCAAATATAGGAGCTGAGTAAAGAACTAAACAAACTGAATTATTTAGGGCAGGAGTTTTTCGAAGATAGTGTTGTCATGACCAAGTCCAGTGAGTCCTGAATCCATGCTAGTTCTCTCTACTACAGAAGAATTTCTTCCGGTTTGTTTCCCATTTTCTTCTGATTCAAGGGGGAAGAGCGTATGAGGGTTGAAGAGATGCCGAGGCTCCCCCAAGATGCCGACTCTGCAAGAAGTTAGTTGCTATAGTTAATCCAATAAATGGGAAGGCCAAAGACTGTGATCCACACTTGTACTTATGACTGTGATTATCAGTCTGTGATAATCATACAGACACACAGACAAACTCTCTCTCTCTCTCTCTCTCTCTCTCTCTCTCTCTCTCTCTCTCTCTCTCAAGCTAAGACATACAGATACTTTAAAAAGCCAGACCTGTTTCCATGCCCACCACTGAGGTCTTACATACCAGCCCCTGTAGTGATATCTTGTTTATACTCTAACAAATAAAGCTTGCCTGAAGATCAGAGGGTGGAGCTCGCCACTAGCTAACCATAGAGGTCTGGAAGTCTGGACAGACAGACAGGAAGTGAGATGCTGGGCAGAGAGGAATATAGATGGGAGAAGACAGGAACCTGGTCTCTTTTTAGTCTGAGGATTTCATAGAGGTAAGAGCTCTAGTGGCTGCTCTGCTTCTCTGGTCCGTCAGCTTTCACTCCCAATCTGACTCTGGGTTTTTATTATTAAGACCTATTAGAACTTGGGTGACAAGCCCCAAACTGAATCATAGCAAAATTCTCTTCTGGCTCTACCCACATCTCCCCAAGGTGGATACTTGTAACAGACCTAAGGAACTGTAAGGAGTCTGGTCCTTACTCCTTCGGGCTACAACTACTTAGAGTTTAGCATACTGCTAGGATTTCTTTTTTCTAGTCTAGATGGTCTTTCCAGTGGAGGAGCTCTGGCCACCAGGTCAGCGGTTGGCATGGGAAAAGATGCTTTTTCAGGGAGCAGTGCCTGAGCCCTTGACCTTCTCAGTCACACCAGGAGGCACCACCTATGACTCCCCAATGATTCTCCTCAGGTCACTTACACTGGTATGACCGTAGAATCCAGACTTCCAGTTTCTTTCCGAGTTTGGGGTGGGTGTTTGATGCCTGCCACATGCTTTTTTTCAACAATGTTTTGAGCTTTTTCTCTGAGAGACGGCAGCAATGTAGACAAGACCGGGGAGCGCATGTCCACAGCCTTTTTAATCGCTGGTCGTTTTGCCATCATTTTCCTGTAGGAAGGAGGGGTGACAGTCATGTTGCATTGTTCTGCTTCTTCCAAATATCTTTGAGCGGAGGGAAGGTCCTATGGTTCTAGCTAAGACAGATGCCATGTGCAGCTTGTATCCCAGCTAAGTTACAAGGATTACAGGTTTGGGGCCAGCCTGAGCTACACAGAGAGACTTCTCTCAAAGAAAGAAAGAAGAAAGGAAATAAACGAGGTCATACCGAAATTGTACCAAGGTCATGCGCTTCTTCTCTCCTCCTGACTCTTCATCCTCACGCCTCCTTCGAGGAATGTTGAACATATTGGTACGAAAAAGCCTTCCTACTTCTTCCTCGATCTCCGTCAGGTATTGACGTCGGAAGACAATCCAAGCTATGCATGTACAGAAAGTATAAAAGGACTGCAAGGGAAAACAGAAGAGTCACAACTCCCAGAAATACTATGAAAAACCCCACTGTCCCCACAGTAGCATTAGGCACAAACCAGGATGATCCAACTGCTCGATATCCCTAAAAGCTGTGCAGAGATACCCGTGTACTCACATTTACGGGTGGAAAATCAGGCCAAAATTCTAAGACATAACAACAATATGTTATCATCCTTTTAAAAAAGGATATTTGTTAAAAAGATGTGCCTACTGAGCAGCTACTGGTCATTGCTGTGTGTCATATTTTCAGAGCAAATGAAAAGTCCCCAAAGCAAGGGGCTTACCTCAAAGAATTTCCAGTCTTTTTGTGTATCTGACATTTTTTCCCTGAAATAAAACAAATCACAACTATATGTAGGATTCTCATTGGTGGCCCGATTATAATTAGGTTCTGGAAGGTCCCGAGGCCACAGGCTTGGTTGCCAGCTGATGGCACTATCAGGTGTGGGGGGGACCCAGTTGGAGGAAGTAGGTCTGGAATGTGCCCTGCCATGGGGCTCTGCCTCTGGGCTCTCCCTCACTGTCCACTCTCTAGCTGCCACAACATAAGCAACTTTCTCCTAACCCGCCCTCCTGCCATGACACTTCATCAACACAGCCCCAGAACATGCTAAGACCTTCCCATTGGCTATGATGTTTCATCCTTCTTCTGTCCCCATGAGGGAGTCAGCACTGTGACTTCTATGTTATACAGAGGAAGCTGATGTTCAGATTCAAGTCCAGTTCTCTCTCTGTATTTCCATGGTGCTAGCCAGCTGTCTCTTACCTTTCCACTGACGGCTACCCCCTACCCCACATACTCCTCATACTGTTTTCTTTGCATTTATATCTGGCACTGTATCTGCTGAATAGGCACTGAGGGTGTATTAAATACTTCAGATTTGTGTATGTGTGTGGGTTGTTGTAGTTTGTTTTTAAAGAGACATGAGCTGGGAGTTGGTGGCAAAGACCTTTAATTTCAGCACAAAGGAGGAAGAGGCAGGCAGAGCTTTATGAGTTTGAGTCCAGCCTGGTCTACAGAGTGAGATCTAGGATAGCCGGGCTACACAGAGAAACCCTGTCTCAAAAGAAAGAGAGACAGACAGAAAGAAAACAAAGTTAGATGTTAGGGAGGTAGGAAGGATCTGCAAGGAATTGGAGGAGGGGAAAACATGATCAAAATATATTGTATGAAAAACTTTTTCAATAAAAATGTTAACTATTAAAAAACAAAAAATAAATTGTAGAATTATGCTTAAAACAGAAACACTGATCAATAAAAGTCAATATAAACTTCCAAGGTTGGATTGAAATATTAGAAAAATTCAACATCTTATAAACAAAAAATGCTGTAATAGAGAAAAATCACTAATAAATGGTGTTGGAAATGGAACATTAGTGAAGAAAAAGTATCTTAGATTCATAGTTCACCTGAAGCATATGACACATTTCAAATGAATAAGAAAGAAAGATAGTTTAACCCAGGAAGAACATGTATGATTATCAAACAGTATCAGAAATAAGTTGGACAAATTCACATAAATAAAAATGTGGATCATCTTGCTAATGTACTTAAGTTGACAGTAAACAATGAAGTAGAAAACATAACCAGTGCTTGCTATGGTCATGGTTCTATCTATACATATACTTTCTATCTATACAAATTGCCATTTCTTCCTTGGTAAAGGTTAAAACTAAATAAGTAAATAGCCAGATAAAACATCTGAAGTTTTATCTCTACCTCTGTATCTATCTTTAAAACTCACAAAGGAATTTGCCATAAACTCCAAGATAGCCAAGTAAATGTAGAATGGATGGTAATAGAAGATTTTTTTTCCGAGACAGGGTTTCTCTGTGTAGCGCTGGCTGACCTGGAACTTGCCCTGTAGATGAGGCTGGCCTCGAACTCAGGTCTGCCTGCCTCTGCCTCCAGAGTGCTAGGATGAAAGGCGTGCACCACCACCAGCCAGCCACAGGAGATTTCTTAACCTTCATGAGCTAAGGCTCCTGGCCCACGTGTGGGAGGGCTGGAGAGAGCTCTGGAATCTTCTGCTTCTTTCTTTGCTTGCTTGCTTTTTGAGATGGGGGCATCACTGTGCTGGCCAGGGCGGTCTTCAAGTGACCCACCAACCTCAGCCTCCCAGGTGCTTTATAATATAGTCATGCATCACCAGCATACCATGCCTGCCATTAACTGGTAGCATGTAACACAGGCATCTAACGATTTGCACTTTCTAATTAAAACATGTTCTGGGTAGTAAGTCATAAAGAAATAGCCCAAGTGTAATGTGGATAAAGATGTTCAAAGCAAAAATATTATGAAACGAAAAGCTCAAACCATAAGCTTCACAAAAGAATGGTGAATCAAATGAGCTAGCACACATAACAGAATTCCTATAACTGCTGTTGAGACTACATACAAAGACTACATATGGATAGAGCATATGTGTAAAGAATAATAAAGAATGGTGGAATGCATGGGTTCCCACACACAACAGCACGCCTCCAGCTGTTACTGAAACTGTGTGTGTGTGTGTGTGTGTGTGTGTGTGTGTGTGTGTGTGTGTGTTTAAGTAAAAGGAAGTACACTGTAAACTGAAAACAGGTATCCAAGACAACTGAGTCAGTACATTCATCGAGAAAGCATCCTCGGGAGACAATTCTTTTCCTACGCTCAAGGTGTGGTCCTTGGGCCACTGTGAAACTACTCAGGCTCTTCAGAGTCAACAACCAAAGCTCCAATTGCGTTAAGTCCAAACGTTCCTGTGCTGTGAGCCTCTTTTAAGCTGTAGCTACAGTACATAGGCATTGCCATCCTGAGGTTAAAACAAACAAAAACATTTTCCCACAGACCGTGCTGTCTCAAGGGTGGCCCTCACAGCTGCGGTTGCTGCAAGAGAAGCAGACACTGCATCCACTCCCCCAACACTGGCCATTCATCACGTGGTCTCCTCCTGAGATGGCCAAGCAGCCCAGGTCCTCAGGCTGAACAAGATTCCTCAGTGAGAACAAGTGATGTCATCCCAAGATGGAATAGGGTTTATAAAAATGCCGGCTGAGACTCTGAGATGCCTTCCATACTTACTTGGCTCTCTCAACAGTTATCATTAGTGCTTGGAACAGGTTCTCACCTGAGCCCTGTTAGAGGGAACACTTTCTCAAGGGTACCAGAAGTCAAATGGAAAGGTGCTAGGGATGTGCCGACCTAAGGGCTGCAGAAGCGCATGCGTACTTTCCACAGTTCATGTGATGCTTATCGGCCATGCCCACGCCCAGCACGAGGAAGCAGTACTTCTGCGCCAGGTACTTCTGCGCATCTTCTAACTTGCTAATAACCAGCTCCATCTCTTTTTTCTCTACCAGGCCTCTGGGGACAGGGAGAGAGACAAAGTGGATTAATTCTGGTGTAAGTCTATAGTAATGAGCTGTTTTTAGAAAGAATTGCAGGCTATTTTGAAAGAAATAGTTGTGAGTCAACAATGTCAGTCGCCAATCTGACTTCCTTGAGTTTTGGCATAGGGAAAAATCCTCAAAACCTCTCTTTTCATTATTTTTATTTTATTTGCATGAGGTTTTTGTTTGTTTTGCTTTTGCCTGCATGCATGTGCAGGCACTGTGTAGGTGCTTGGTGCCGACACAGCAGACTAGGGCACTGGAACAAGAGTTATGGATGGTTGTGAGCCACCATGTGGGAGCCGGACCTGAACCCTGAACCTCTGGGAAAGCATTCAGTGCTCTTAACTGCCCAGCCATCTCTGAAGCCCCTCAAAGTCTTTCATGGCTATGAATCGCTGGTGTCAGCATTATGGGTTTGGGTGGATGTCACTAGTATAGATGTCTCATACTTGATGATCTTTATGTATCCTCAGCTATACTCACAGTGAATTCTAATTCCTATAGAACTTTCCAGTAGCAAATTATTGGTGCTAGTTGCTGGGCAGCTGCCTCCTCCCATACCTGCTGTTTCTAAACCAACTTGTAGAGACTTTCCCCCAAGGCCCTGGTGTTGCTATTAAGTTCAGGAGTTCTAGGTCTGTTTGGTAGGGAACCATTCCAGCTGGTCACTACTGGCATCAAGTGTGAGAACATCACTTCCCTATGAACACACAGTCCAGTTCTGACTGAATTGCAAACGAACTTTGTAAAAGACACTGTTCTTAGATTACAGCAGGTCTGAAGTCTAATTTTAAGTGTTTGCAGTACAGTGTGGTAGGAAACAGTATTGTTGGCAATGCTGTCAAGTGCCACTGGAAAGTAAATCAAATGTGCTCTCAATAGTGACAAATGACTGCTCCTGATGAAGTGATTACTGCACCAACTATGTAAATACAAAGATGGGTGGTGGTGGTACACGCCTTTAGTCCCAGCACTCAGGAAGCAGTAGTAGGCAGATCTCTGTGAGTTTGAGACCAGCCTGGTCTACAGAGAAAGTTCTAGGACAACCAGGACTACACAGAGAAACCCTGACTTGAAAAACAAAAAACAGAGGAGAACAAAACAAAATAAAACCTGTATGAAGACATGCAGTGAGTGGAGAGGGATGAGTTTAAGGATAACACGGGTCTTTAAGAAGAACAAAGTGTTATCATAGGTAATGGAAGACCTGGGAGTCACCGGAGTTAAAATGAGATTCTGGAATAAAGAAAGTGGGCTTCAACTTTAAGATCCCAGCTGTCACAAGGTCCAAGGACACCCTCCATGCACAGCCTGCTGGTCACATCACAGAGCCTGCCTCCTGGTCTCCTTCAAGTAGCCCTGACCCTCTTTGGCCAGAGGTGCCATCAGCTAACCCTCTTCTCTTGCTATAGAAACCCAAACAGCCACCAAGGGATGCTTTCCAACATTTGGACAATGGTTATCAGGTTTCACTCAGTTATAAAGGAGAACTACCCTGAGGTTCTTGCTCAAAGTACAGAGTCCCAATGTGACGCCATCTCCAGATTCTGGAGAGAACCCAGGAAAATTAAAACAATCATCCCACTGACTATGAGGCTGGGGAATCCCCTCATAAAATACATAAGGAACCTGAGTCCTGGGCTTTCAAAGCAGATAAGGGTGCCTGCCATCAGACCTGATGACATCAGTTCAGTCTCTGGGAACTACATGGTGGGAAAACAGACTCCAGCAAATTGTCCTCTAACCTTCACACACACACACACACACACACACACACACACACACACACACACACACAATGTAATTTTTTAAAAATTAACGAAAACAAAAAGGAACTTAGGACTGGAGATATGAATGAGAATCAGTAGTTTAGAGCACCTGCTGCTCTGGCACAGGACCCAGGTTCATACCCGAATCCACACAGTCCCTGACCTGTAGAACTCCAGCTCCAGTGGATTCAACTCCTCTGGCCTCCCAGAATGCCTGCACTCATGTGCACATCCCGACATGTAGACACACACACACCTACATACAATTAAAACTAATAAATCATTTTAAAGCCCCGTTGAAGAGGAAAGAAGCGGGAAAGCCAAGAAACCAAAGTCAAAGAAAAAATAACCTCAGCACAAACTTCTAGGCAACGCTGGTCCACTTGCATCAATATTCTGTGTCTGAAAATCATTCCCCTTCAGGATTTCTGTGTTTTCACTTCTGCAACATTGTCTCAAACGTGTGTGTGTGTGTGTGTGTGTGTGTGTGTGTGTGTGTGTGTGTGATGGGGGGTAGGGGGCTCAAGTATCTTGTAGCCCAGGCTGGACTTGAACTCACTGTGGAGCTGAGGATATGAACTTTTGATTTTTCTGCCTCCACCTCACAAGTACTGAGATCACAGGCTACACCACACACCAGGTCAATGCAGTACTAGGAATTGAGCCCAAGGCAAGCTCTGGGTGTGTGTTAGGCAATCTCTCTACCAACTAAGCTGCATCCCCAACCCTTAAACAATCTTTAAACACACAGTTAATGGTTCACCTGAACGGACAAGCATGGTCTTTAAAAACACAAATGAAGGGATAGGGACCTTGGCTTCCATTCCTAATATCATCAAAAATAACTCCAACACTGACAATTTTGTTGAGAGTGGTATATTACATATATTGCTGCTACCACAAAATTGACATAATTTTATGAAAAAAACATTTGAAAAGAATTTAAAGAGACATGGAAATGATTACAAATTTTGGTTCCATAAGATCTCTGGGAAATTCTTTTAAAAACACTATACAAAACCAGACAGATAGGGCTGGAGGGATGGCTCAGTGGTTAAGAGCACTGGTTGTTCTTCCAGAGGACCCAGGGTTCAATTCCCAGCACCCACATGGCAGCTCACAACTGTCTGTGACTCTAGTTCCAGGGGATCTGATGTCCTCACACAGATACACATGAAGGCAAAACACCAATGCACATAAAATTAGAATAAATGAATCATTAAAATATTTTAAACAATCAGACAGAGATTCATCAATGAAGATATTCAATTCTGAGCTGAGCATGGTAGCACATGCCCATAATCCCAGCACTTGGGAAGTCAAGGCAGGAGGATCAGGAATTTAAGATCAACCTCAGATACATAATGATTCTAAGGTCATCCTGGGTTAAATAAGATTGACTCAAAAAGCTTCAGAAAAATAAGTACAAAATAATAATAATAATAACTGTTGAGACAGGGTTCCTCCTTATCTAGCCCTGGTTAGCCTGTAACTCACTACATAGATGAGGCTGGCCTTAAACTCATAGAGATCCACCTGCCAATGCCTCTCAAATGCTGGGATCAAAGGCATGCGCCACCATGCCCAATCTACAATTATTATTTAATCTATCAAAAAGACAGGAAACTTTCAAAATAAATAAGCAAAAGGGATGAAAGGATAGTACTCATACAGCCTGTTTGTTAGGATTTAAGGGCATGACATTTATTAATTTTGTGCAACTGGAATCAAATATTTTCCTCTGTGCAAATACCCCAATCCAATCTATACTTAACTGTTATAAAGAAGTAAATCAAGTGACTACTGGACACATGAAAATGAAAGGTGATCATGATTTTCAGAACCCATAATTTAAGATTTGGGTTGATTTGTTGTCCTATACCACTGTTATAGTTACTTTCAGTGCATTTAAAAACTTACCAGGAGACCTTTCTTCTCTGCCACTTGTAAATTAATATATAAAACAACGTCTTTGTTAGATTAGTAATAAGCGCCAGAATTAGAAGAAACCAGACGACTATACAAGCCAAAGAGTCATAAAAACCTACTGAGTTCAATTTGGGAATGGGAGGACTCTTCAAGCCTAGTAAGCCACAGTTGGCTTTAGCTTTTGATGCTGCCATAGCAACGCTTCACGCTCTGGCTGCCCTGCTGCGAAATGCCACCCTGAAATAACACTCTGTTGCATATCATGGTAGCATTACAGGCACAGCAGTGTCTGATCTGGTTCCTTACACAACTGCTATTCAGGGACATCTATCAGTCTGCAAAATGTTTCTCCAAATGCTTGATCATATACGAGAGTCTTAGATTTAAAAACATTCTGTAGCAACAAACCAATGGCTCTCTCCAGCATTCCTAACAGCTAAATCATTGAGCTGGTTCCACACATACCAGGCAGGGAGAGGGTGTGGGGGAACAGCCTGGGCACTTGGAAAGTTCCACAGTTTGTGAAAGGTCACCAAGCCTGAGAAGCATTGTTGTGTTCAGGACTCCAAGTTCCCAGATTTTGGCTCTGGTGTTTATCTCTAGGCCACTGCTGCCTAACGGCACAGTCAAGTTTTCTACAAACAGATTAAGAAACTGCGTCGATTTTACTTTGATGGAGAATGCTTTATTTTCAGCCAAATCTACTTTTTAAAACACCTTGCCTCCTGTTATTAGACACTCACAAACCTTTTAGCATGAATTTTGTAAGCACAAAAACCATGAGAATAGCTGAATGGTGGTGGCCCATACCTTTTTATCCCAGTACTCAGGAGGCACAGGCAAGTGGATCTCTGTGAGTTCAAGGCCAGCTTAGCCTACAGAGTGAGTTTCAGGGCAGCTATAACTGTTACACAGAGAAACCCTATATCTAAACAAACAAACAAAAATCTGAGAGGAGAAAGAAGTAGGGGAGAGAGTATTGCAAGTCTCTGTGCTGATGTCACTAGCTGTAAGCGCCTCCTGAGCACTTAGAGTGGTTGGTCTGAATTGAGGTGCTATAAACATAAGGATCTGGAGAGATGACTTAGTGGTTAAGAGCACTGGCTGATCTTCCAGAGGACCTGGGTTCAATTCCCAACACCCACATGGCAGCTCATAACTGTATGTAACTCCAGTTCCAGGGGATCCGACACCCTCACACAGACATATATACAGGAAAGAACACCAATGCACCTAAAAAATAATAAGGGACACCGGATTCTGAAGATTATAGAAAAAAGCAAAGGCATCCTAATAATAACATCCTAAGGGGCTGGTGGGATGGTTCAGTAAGTAACATGGTTGCTGCTCAGGCTTAAGGATCCAAGTTTAGGTCCCCAGCACCCATGTGAAAACTTGACATAGTGGCAGGCATCTGTGACCTCAGCTCTGAGGAGAAATGAAACAGGCAAACCCCTGGGGTACTCTGACCAGTCAGTCTAGCTGAACAAAAGCAAGCTCCCAACACAGTGAGAGGCCCTGTCTCAAAACACCAGGTAGGGAGTGTGAAGGAAGATACTGACACAGACTTCAGGCTCCACATACCCATACATGGATAAGCACACTCCCTCCCACACTGCACACACATGCACATACCACATGCATATCCATACATATACCACATGCACACACACAAAGAAAGAATGCAATTTTTAAAAGAATTATTTTAAAATACTAACATTCCAATATTGACTACATATTATCATTGTAATATTTTGAAATCACTAGGTTGGATAAAACAACAATTTAAATTCATATTACCATATCTTTTTTATTTCATGTGTATTAGTGTTTTGCCTGCACATATGTCTGTGGGAGCATGGCAGATCTCTTGGAACTGGAGTTACATACAGCTGCCATATGGGTGCTGGGAATTGAACCTGATTTCTCTGGAAAAGAAGCCAGTACACTTAACTATTGAGTCATCTCTCCAGCCCCTCTTTTTTATAATTTTAAGACACATTATTAAGAGATTTTTTTTCAACACAGAGCTTGTCTGTGTAACAGCCCTGGCTACTTGCTGTGTAGACCAGGCTGGTCTTGAACTCACAGAGATCTACCTGCCTTAGCCTACTGGCTTTCATTATATCTCTTCATAGAAGCTTGTTGGGATTCCTGTATGAATTGCTCAGTGAGCTTTAAAACAGCAAATCCTCCCATGACAAACATTTTCCTAGACAAGAATGACTTAAGAGACACCATCATCTCTTCACCCTAGACAGCACGGCCATCAATAAAAATTCTCAAACATGTTATAAAATCTTACTCATGGGGAGGGGATGGGGAGTTAAAAGGAAGAGATGGGGAGAAGAGGAGGGGAGAGGAGGACAGGAGAGAGAGTCAAGGGAAGAATAGAGGAGAACAAGAAAAGAGATACCATAATAGAGGGAGCCATTATAGGTTTAAAGAAAAATCTGGCACTAGGGAAACGTCCAGAGATCGACAAGGTTGACCCCCCAACTAATAATCTAAGCAATAGTCGAGAGGTTTTCTTAAATGCCCTTCCGCTGTGACAACCTTATATGCCATCCTAGAGCCTTCATCCAGTAGCTGATGGAAGAAGAAGCAGACACTCACAGCTAAACACTAAACTGAACTCTGGGATCAGTTGCAGAGAGAGAGGAGTGATGAGCAAAGGGGTCAAGACCAAGCTGGAGAAACCCACAGAAACAGCTGACCTGAACAAAGGGTTGCTCATGGACCCTAGACTGATAGCTGGGAAACCAGCATAGGACTGTTCTGGAGGTCTGGTTAATCTATGAGGCCTCTGGTAGTGGATCAGTATTTATTCCTAGTACACAAATGGACTTTGGGAGCCCACTCCACATAGAGGGATACTCTCTCAGGTCTAGGCCCTGCTCCAAATGATATGACAGACTTTGAAAATCCCCCATAGAAGGCCTTGCCCTCCCTGGGGAGGAGAAAGGGGATAGGATGGGGGTTATGAGGTGCAGGGGAGGAGGGGAGGTAAAGGGATCTGTGATTGACATGTAAAAGAAGCTTGTTTCTAATTTAAATTTAAAAAGGGAGGAAAAATCTTACTTACACCATGTAGCTTTGGGGTTTCTTTTCCATTGAGATTTTCTCCAAGTAATAAGACAGATAGTATAACAGTGCCATAAGGAAGCTGTCAAGATTCTTATTTCTACAGGGAAATTTAAGATAAAAGAAAAAAAAAAAGAAATTAGCACTCCCCATTTCAAACATTAGGCTTCTCGTGAAAAACAATGGCAACACAGTGTAAGAATAAATAGAAATGGGGGCTGGAGAGATGGCTCAGAGGTTAAGAGCACTGACTGCTCTTCCAGAGGTCCTGAGTTCAATTCCCTGCAACCATATGGTGGCTCACAACCATCTGTAATGAGATCTGTTGCCCTCTTCTGGCGTGCAGGCAGAACATTGTATACATATTAATAAATAAATAAATAAATAAATAAATAAATAAATAAAATCTTTAAAAAAAAGAATAGAAATATATGGTACCAAAGCTATCACACAACTTACTATTTAAAATTCTACCCATTGTGATGAAGATGTAAAAAGCATCTGAAAAAGACATTTCTGGGAAGTCAGATACCAAACTATTAATGTATTATTCTTTTGGTTTTTTTTGTTGTTGTTGTCTTGTTTTTTTGGTTTTTTGAGACCGGGTTTCTCTGTGGCTTTGGAGGCTGTCCTGGAACTAGCTCTTGTAGACCAGGCTGGCCTCGAACTCACAGAGGTCCGCCTGCCTCTGCCTCCCGAGTGCTGGGATTAAAGGTGTGCGCCACCAACGCCCGGCCCTAATGTATTATTCTTTTCACTTCACAAGTATTTGCTCTGTAGGTAATATTATTTCCACTGTTTGTAAAATGTACAAGCTGAGCACAGTGGTTCACACCTGTGGCCCCAGAAATCAGGAAGATTTCAAGTTCCAGGCCAGCCTGGGCTGCTAAACATAACTGACAGAGAAAACCTCGCCACAGCCGGGCGTTGGTGGCGCACGCCTTTAATCCCAGCACTCGAGAGGCAGAGGCAGGTGGATCTCTGTGAGTTCGAGGCCAGCCTGGTCTACAGAGCAAGTTCTAGGACAGCCTCCAAAACTGTAATACAGAGAAACCTTGTCTTGAAAAACCAAAAAGAAAAAAAAAAAAAAAAAAAGAAAAGAAAACCTCGCCACAGCATAGCCCTATCTCAAAATACAAACAAGAAGCACAGAAATACATGAGGCAAATGTCCTCTTCTCCCATTTTTTTTTTTTTTTGCATACATGCAATTTTCTCTTACCCCTTGCTCTAGGACTCTGGAGCACCTGTGACTTGGGGCCCCTGTGCCCTCAGGTGTCTCTCCCTCACTCTCTAGTCTAGTCTCTGAGAGGATGGTTTGCACAGAGGCACCATGTGATCTTCTGCTTCCTAGGCCTGTTTCACTTATCTCTGCTTGCACGAGAAAGGGGAAAGCTGTGTGCTGTCTCACCAGCTTTACCTCATGAACGTTGTGAAGGAACAGATCCGCTGCATTTCAGTGTCTTGGAGGAAAAGCAAGGCAACAACTGAAAGGAGAAAAGGAAACACTTAAACAGAGGCAAGGCGTGGCGCCAGAAGCTGGCGCCGGAAGCTGAAGGCCGTGGACGGCACATGAAGTAGGAGGAAGAAAGCGGCTCACACTTGACATCGTCCAGGGTGACATTGCCCTGCTGACATCGTTTCTCCAAGGCTTTCACTGACTTTTCGTTCCGTGAGGCAAACCTTTTATCTGTCAACCTGTTTGGAAATATAATAGTCTCAGCTGGTGATTTTTTGTTGTTTTTTTAAAGATTTATTTTTATTTTATTTGCATGGGAATTTTGCCCGCTTGTATGTCTGTGCACCACGTTCGTGCAGAGCTCACAGATGCCAGAAGGGGGTGTGGGATCCCCAAGCAGAATTACAGTTGCTTGTGAGCCACCCTGTTGGTTCCTTGAGTCAAATCTGTGTCAAGTCTTAGAGGAAGAGCAGCCAGGGCCCTTAACTTCTAACCACTGCTCCATCCCTCTGAGAGTATTTTAAAGGATTTAGTTGTATTAGTATATCCTGAGATGCACAAGGAATTTGCAAAGTAATGAGAGGTTGAGTGTCATGCATGGGTTCCATTTAATGCAGTATTGTGTCACAATACACTTTTGATCTTTTTGTATTTATTAAGTTGAAGCATGTATACTGATATAAAATGTAAACTCAAAACAGATTTTTTTTTTAAGACAGGGTTTCTTCTTGTAGCCCAGGCCGTCCTAGAATTCACTGGGAAGCCCAGGCTGGCGACCAGCTTAGAGATCTGCCTGCCTCTGCCTCCTCAGTGCTGGGATTAAAGGTCAGCACTGCTCAGCTTTCAAACAGATCATTTTAAGTCACTTAATGGGTTGAGGGTGTGGTTCAGTGATAGGATGTTTGCCACAATGTGTGAGTCTTTTATCCCCAGCACTGTGGATGGATGGATGGATGGATGGATATGAATGAAATTCTGGTATCACCAGTATTTTCAGACTAATAAAAAATTATAACTGTAGCAAGTTTGAAATGTACTAATAGCCACATTATCAAAAGAATGAATATCTAGGGGCTGTTTGTAACTCCTGCTGTATAGACACTGCCTGTGCTTCCCTTGATGGATAAGCATGGCAACCTAGGCAAACAGGACTGGATCTCTTTGCATTTGTGAGCAAGTCAGCTGAGGGATGGTGTGGGCAAGGTGGAGCCCCACCTTTCGGAAGCCGAACCGTCCATTTCAGCAAAGTGAACCGCCTTCCCTTTCTTGCCTTTCTCCTTGAACTCTACTGCAGGCGTGAAGCTGCAATGAGAAGGGGATGATTAGGGGCCTGGGGACCTGACCATAGCCCCTGCAGTCTGAGGACTGGCACATATTAGCAGTGTTCAATTCAGGATGTATGTACACATGGAACCACTATTAAGAGGAAGATTAGCACCTCCAACTCCCATTCAGCTTCTAGGATGTCACCATGCACAAAACACTTCTGTATGAACATCTTATAGTACTGTCACAAAGAGAAAGTTCATAAATGTAGAAGGCTTTCTGAGTTTATTGAGTACTTATGACAGGCCAGGGACTTTTAGGCACCATCTCATTATCATAACCACTTTATGAGAAAAATATTACTGCTGTCATTTCCACACCTGAGAAGAAGGGAAGCTTAGAGATTACAAGTGTCCTTGTCCTCTAGGAATGGGCAGTTCTGCCTCCCAAGCAGCCCTCTCAGGATCACCCTCTTGCTTTGTGAAGGTTCCAGCACTTTGACTGTGTATGTGTGTGTGTGAGAGAGAGAGAGAGAGAGAGAGAGAGAGAGAGAGAGAGAGAGAGAGAGAGAGAGAGAGGGAAAGAGAGACCACATTGGGAAGAGGAACAAAGAGATTCAGGGCAGAGTGTGTGTGTGAGTGAGTGTGTCTGTGTGTCCATCCACATCAGGAAGAGGGATAAAGAGATCCAGGGCAGAATTCTGAAGGGTGTGCACATCTAAGCCGTCCAGGTGAGGTGTGGTCCCATCCTCTACTGTCCTCATTGTCTGGGCTTCAGTGTCAGGCTGTAAGGGAGTGTGACAAGTTGTTTGAACTCAGTGAAATCTCTTCCCTGGTGACAAGTTCTGCCAACCACATAATACAGGAGTTATAAGGCAGTAGTGAATCTAACAAACAACAGACCATGATAAGCATATAGTGAGGCCCTACTATGTGCTAGGAATTTCCATGACCTTGGACAGAAAGAAGATGGTGTCTGGGCTGGGTGGTGGTGGTGGTGGTGTACACCTTTAATTCCAGCACTCAGGATGCAGAGGCAGTCAGATCTCTCTCAATTTGAGGCCAACGTCATCTACAGAGCTAGCTGCAGGACAGCCAGGGTTACACAGAGAAACCTGTCTTGAAAAAACAAAACAAGCAAAAGACAAAATTTTAAACCTTTAGTTTATTATCATATTTTATAAATATGAAAAAACACTAAACTTTTACTTTTAAACTTATTAGTAATCTTTTTGTTTTGTTTTGTTTTTTGAGACCAGGTTTCTCTGTGGTTTTGGAAGCTGTCCTGGAACTAGGTCTTGTAGACCAGGCTGACCTCGAACTCACAGAGATCCGCCTGCCTCTGCCTCCCGAGTGGTGGGATTAAAGACGTGTGCCACCACCGCCTGGCAGCTTATTAGTAATCTTAATTATGAAATGTTACAAGATTACTAAACTTTAACTTTTAAATTTATTCATAATCTTAGCTGAAATATTATGAGATTAACAATAAAACTTAGTTTGAAAAGTACTGCCAATTAACCTTATTTATACAGAAATTAAGTGCATGGTCACATTAGTGTTGTGAAATACTATTTTAAAGTGTGTTTCATTTTTTTATGCTCTGGAACATTTGTTTAACAATGTAAAGATTTGTTGCTTTGTTTATGCTGCATTTGTTTAACCTCTGTGAAACAGTGATCCTTTGGCTGTCTATATTACCTCATGGTCTAATAAAGAATAGACCAATAGCAAGCAGAGAATATAAACAGAAGGAAGGAGAGAGGAAGAGGAGCAAGAAGAGAAGGAGGAGAGGAAGACATCAGGGGTCAGCCACCCATGCCAGCCACGGAGTAAGAGTGAAAGTAAGGTATACAGAAAAAAAAAGGAAAAAGCCCAGAGGCGAAAGACACAAGGATAATTTAAGAAAAGCTGGCTAGCAACAAGCCAAGCTAAGGCCAGACATTCATAACAAAGAATAAGCCTTCCTGTGTATTTATTTGGGAGCTGGGTGGCAGGCTTCCCAAAAGAGTAAAAATAAAAAACAACCAACAACATATTAGTCTCTAGTATCAATGTTGGCACTTAAGATTCTACCTATGGGCTGGAGAGATGGCTCAGAGGTTAAGAGCACTGACTGCTCATCCAGAGGTCCTGAGTTCAATTCCCAGCAACCACATGGTGGCTCCCAGCCATCTGTCATAAGATCTGGTGCCCTCTTCTGACCTGCAGGCATACATGCAGACAGAACACTGTATACATAATAAATAAAATCCTTTAAAAAAAATTCTACCTACATCCTCTTGTGCTGTAACTATCTGTCCTCCTAAACTAGCCTGTCCAATCCCCAAGCTTTCTTATCACCTAGCTCACACTCACTGTGTATGATGTTGCAGCAGCTACTGAACAGGAAACTTTGTGACATCTTAGTGGGAAAAACAAAACTGAAATGACAGCTTTGGAAACAGCAAGCTACTCAGAGGTGCTGCAATAAACATATCCTATAAAATGTAAATGCTTGCTGCAATGCAGCTAAGGGGCAGAACGCTTGCCTGGAATGTGCAAGGCCCTGGGCTCAAGCTCCAGTACTGTAAGACAAAAATAAAATAGAAAATGTTGACTCTGACTCTAATGTGGCCTTTGGATTATCTGACAATACATCTAATGCCTTTATATTTCTATAATTTAAGTACAAGCTACATGTGCTTAGCCAACTCTTTTCTTGACCTCCAGCCTCAGCTGTCCAACATTGTAACAGATGTTTCCATAGCAGTTTCCATGGGAGCCTGTCACAGCAACCTTAAAAACAACACTGTTTTCCTCTGTATGTGGGGGAATAGCAATGCCACCCAGTTACCCGGGGAGCAACCTAGTTGCCTGCTCCTCTTTCTCCCTTCACATCTATAGCCTGCTAATTTTATCCAAACATCCTGTTGAAGGTTGTCCACTCCCCTGTCCATCAGCATAGTTAATTCTGACTCTGAGTCTCCACTTGTGTCACTGTCTACAATTCCTTCCCCTGCCATAACCCTTTCATTTGGTCCCCAGTTAGCAGCTGGTTAACAGAACAAGCTTGATAAACATTTGTTAAAAACTTACTCTGCTGGGTGGGCGGTGGTGGTACACACCTTTAATACCAGCACCAGGCAGGCAGAGGAAGATCCCTGTGAGTTTGAGGCCAACCTCGTCTACAGACCTAATTCCAGGACAGCCAGGGCTGTATTAATTTTTTAAAAAGAAAGGAAAAAAGAAGACAAAGTCATTAAAGGCTGGTCAGCAAAATCATTTTCAGATGGTGGGATTTAATTTTAGTTTTTAGACTTCTCTGTGTGGCTTATTATCCATCCCCTCATCCCTCACCCCCACCCCAGCACATGTAACTGTCATTAAAAAATGCCTTAATTTTTTTTTTGTTAAACTTTACCTTTGACGGGTGGTGGTGGTGCACACCTTTTTAATCCCAGGACTTGGGAGGCACAGACAGGTGGGTCTCTGTGAGTTCGAGGCCAGCCTGGTCTACAGAGTGAGTGCCAGGACAGGCTCCAAAGCGACACAAAGAAACCCTGTCTCGAAAAACCATAAATAAATAAATAAAATTTACCTTCTAAATTCCAGAGTTTTGGTTTCATCTTTCCAGTACCACATCCCCAATCGTAATCCATATTGCTGTAAAATGAAATGATCGAATCAAATGTAACTAAAATTCACTTTACAATCCACACGTCCCCATAAACCTTTAATCTTTTCTGCTAGTCCCTTGTTCAATCTACTGAATTAATCTCATTGAAGATGACCTGAGTTTTGTTTCTTTTCTTTCTTTTTGCTTTTGTTTTTCCAAACAGGGTTTCTCTGTGTAGCCCTGGCTGTCCTGGAACTCAATCTATAGACCAGGTTAGCCTCATTTACAGAGATCTGCCTGTCTCGGCTAGAATTACTGGCCTGTGCCACCACCACTGGGTGGACCTTGAGTTTCTGATCCTCCTGTCTCTACCTCTCCACTGATTACAGGCATGCACCCTTACACCTGGTTTATGCGTCGTTGGGGATCAGCATTGGAAACAGGGGTGAGCGCACGCCAGACAGGGAGTCAACCAATTGAGTGGCACCCAGCAATTGGTTTTTGTTGTTTGTTTTGGTTTTGGTTTTTTGAGACAGAGTTTCTCCGTAGCTTTGGAGGGTGTCCTGGAACTAGCTCCTGTAGACCAGGCTGGTCTCGAACTCACAGAGATCCTCAAGCCTCTGCCTCCCAAGTGCTGGAACTAAAGGTGTGGCCGCCACCACCCGGCTCCAGCCTTTGCTTTAATTTTATTTCGGGCATATGGGTGTTTTGCTTGTGTGTCTATCTGTACACCTCGCGTGTGTAGTGCTGGAAGAGGTCATACAAGGACATCGAAACTGCTGGAGTTGGAGTTACCAGAGATCATGAGCTGGTTTGTGCTAGCTGGACACTGAACTTGGCTCCTTTGGAAGAGCAACCAGTGCTCTTAATCGCTGAGCCATCCCTTGTTCTGTGTTTTTACTTGGTTTCATTCTTTTTGTTTCAATAAGGAAAGGGAGAGAGGATGTAGGAAGGAAAGTACAGGAAAGGGGAAGATGGGAAGGGAGGAAAGAGGTCACAACCATTCAGAGCATGCCATACAGCAACCTTTAATCTAGATCTTCAAGTTAAACTCCCACTAAAAGGAAAAAAAAGAAACAGTCAACCAGGCGGTGGCGCCTTTAATCCCTGTACTCGGGAGGCAGAGGCAGATCTCTGAGTTCGAGGCCAGCGTGGTCTACAGACTGAATTCCAGGATAGCCAGGGCTACAGAGAAACCTTGTTTGGGGTGGAGGTGGGGGTGCTCTAACGTTGTCCCTGACCTTCAGGGACAGAATTTCGCACAGTAGTTGGGGACAAACTATCAGCCTTTGCCCTCCCTGAGTCCAAGGTAGGCCTGCTTCTCCAGCAGTAGGACTATCTATCTCAGAACCTAACAGAGAGGAGTGGGCTTTCATAATAATCTACATATCTGCGTGGGGAGCCAGACAGAATTCAATTCCTACAACACACCTATCTACTTTTAGCTTTGGAGGCAAATATGTCCCACTGTTCTTGGGAACCGTGGGCACAAGGCAACCCGCCTGTGGAGAAGCCGCAGCGGAACACAGGACAAGGGCCTCCCGGCCTCCCCATCGAATCCCGCTGGGCTCCCACGGTGCCTGCTACAGAGCCCGCCGCACCGAGGGCGGTTCCCGGTCAGCATTGGCCACCTGTCACCGGCCCTGAGAAGGTGCGACCAGGCTGCACTTACGTCCAGCCGGACAGAGGATTGCCCGTCGAACGGCTTCCTCCTGGAGTAAAACTCAGGCACCGAGACCATGGCTTTACCATGAGCCTCTCACGGCCGTCGCCTGGGATACGGCCACGCCGCGGCCCTGCTGGCGTCCGAGGGGCGGGGCTTCCGCCGGACGGAGGACCTGGAGCGCTCTGACATCCCCACCCCCACTCCCTACCTCCCACCCCAGGTCCGGTCCTGTCCGGACTTGACACTGCGGTGCCCCCATGAAGCCGCCACCCTATGCTTTAATTGGAATAACTTGGTATACTCCTATAGTAAAGTCCTGCTCCAAACTGCCATGGCTAGCGCAATGAAGTTGAAACACTGTTGGACCTAGGTTGCTTTGGAGAGTTTGTTTAGTGGAAGAGACTACGGGCACGGAAATAAAATATTCCGAGCAATTCTTTTGTTAACTACCAACTTTTAAAAATACCCAAGTATTTTTGAGTAACGTCTGTGTGTTTAAGTTAGGGTTACTGCTGCTATGATGAAGCACAGTGACCAAAACAACTCGGGGAGGAAAGGGTTTATTCAGCTTAACCTGTCACAATTCATTAGCAAAAGAAGTCAGAACTCAAGCAGGGCTGGAACCTGGAGGCAGGAGCTAATGCTCACACCATGAGGGGTGCCGCTTACTGGCTTGTGCCTCATGGCTTGCTCTACCTGCTTTCTTAGAGAACTCAGTAACTCTCAGCCCAGGGATGACCCCACTCACAATGGGCTGAAGCCTCCTCCATCAAACACTGATTAGGAAAATGCCTGGAAGGCTTGCCTACCGCCCCATCTTATAGAGGCATTTTCTCTATTGAGGCACCCTCCTCTCTAGCTTGTGTCATGGTGACAATAAAACTAGCCAGTACAAACCAGGCAGTGGTGGCCCACTCCTTTAATCCCAGCACTGGGGAGGCAGAGGCAGGTGGATTTCAGTGAGTTTGAGGTCAGCCTGTTCTACAAGACAAGTTCCTGGACAACCTGAGCTGTCTCTGTTACATAGAGAGAGACCCTGTTTCAAAACAGAACAAAAACAACAAAAACCAAAACCTAGTCAGTACGGTGTATAAAGCATTAGCCTTAATAAGTACTCAAAATTAGTGTTGTTCAAAACAAAAGCAAGAACAACTTGCTCAGTGTTGATGGATGGATATTCAAGTGAGCTTATGTTCACTTCAGGTCACAAACCTCGTTCTTTCTCTTTGCAATTGTACTGATAGACAGATTTGGGTTGTTCTTAACTTCCAATATAAGCAATGCTAGACAAAGAATGCCTAATGAGTTCTGCTTTTATAGCGGCACAGCTGAATGGGTATGAGATGCCCAGTAAATAGCCCGGTACCTATGCTCACAATCTTTACAGCAACTTCCATGTCACTGCCTGCTGCCCAGTGTCCCAGTCTCCCAGCCACTGGGTATGGTGGTCTAAAACCGTGATCAATACATTCCTGTCCTGTTCACTGGAGTCAGTTCTACTTGTCAATCCAATTAATTTAAATGCATGGAAACCCATCTGGACATCTCCAGTGCTAGTTAGAGGTCAAGGGCCAAGCAGGCTTGCTTACTGAAAAGGAAAGAATATAATATCCCAGATGCTAAGAATTATTTAACAACTAGTATCTACAACTTAGAGTGGAGTGAACCAGGACAAGTTGAGATAAGGTTCCAAAAGAAGACTAAGACCAAGGTATCTAGTTATTATACAATCAGTAGAGAATATAAGAATAATTCCAGGGCTGGAGAGATGGCTCAGTGGGTAAGAGCACTGGCTGCTCTTCCAGAGGACCCAGTTCAATTCCCGGCACCCATATGACAGTTCACAACTGTCTACCTCCAGTTCTAGGAGATCAGGCATCCTCTGGACATACATGCATGCTAACATACGTGCAGGCAAAATACCAATGCATATAAAATAAATGAATTAATAAATCTTCAAAAAGAAAGAAACCCAAAGAGGAAAAAATCATGTGGTTGTCTCAGTACATGCTATTAAAAAAAATAACCCTCTTCAGATAGCACACAAATGCATTAGGTGCTAACAGAACACCATCTCTCTAACCTCAGTCTAAAACAAGGTGAAAGGCAGGTGAAACCCACCAAGATGAAGTGTCTATCCTGAACATCTATGCCCCAAATACAAAGGCATCCACATTCGTTAAAGAAACATTATTAGAACTTAAATCTCATCTAAAGCCCCACACAGTTATAGTGGGAGATTTCAACACACCACTCTCACCACTAGACAGGAATACCAAACAGAAACTCAACAAAGAAGCACAAGGGCTAATAGAAGTAATGACCCAACTGGGATTAACAGATATCTATAGAACATTTCATCCACATAAAAAAGAATATACCTTCTTCTCACCACCACATGGAACCTTCTCAAAAATCGACCACATACTTGGCAACATATCAAACCTCAGCAGCTACAAAAAATTGGAATAACTCCATGCATCTTATCAGACCACCATGCTTTAAAATTAGAATTCAACAACAACACAAATTGCAGAAAACCTACAAACTCATGGAAATTGAATAATGCTCAACTGCACCATCCCTGGGTCAAAGAGGAAATAAAAAAAGAAATTAAAGACTTCCTCGAATTCAATGAGAATGAAGACACAACATACCCAAACCTATGGGACACTTTGAAAGCAGTGCTACGGGGGAAGTTCATAGCGCTAAATGCTCACATGAAGAAACAGGAGAACAGTTATACCAGAGAATTAACATCACAGCTGAAAGCTCTAGAACACAAAGAAGCACACTCCCCCAGGAGGAGTAGACGCCAGGAAATAATCAAATTGAGGGCTGAAATCAATAAAGTAGAAACCAGGAAAACAATACAAAGAATCAACGCAACGAAGAGTTGGTTCTTTGAGAAAATCAACAAGATAGACAAACCTTTGTCCAAACTTACCAAACAGCAGAGAGTGAACACGCAAATTAACAAAATTAGAAATGAAAAGGGGGACATAACAACAGACTCTGAGGAAATCCAGAGAATCATTAGGTCATACTTTGAAAACCTGTACTCCACAAAATTCGAAAATTTAAAGGAAATGGATGACTTCCTGGACAGCTATCAATTGCCAAAACTAAATCAAGAACAGATAAGCAATTTAAATAGACCTATAACCCCTATGGAAATAGAAGCTGTCATCAAAAGTCTCCCAACCAAAAAAAGCCCAGGTCCAGATGGCCTCAGTGCAGAATTCTACCAGAAATTCAAAGAACAGCTTATACCAATTCTTCTCAAAGTGTTCCACACAATAGAAGCAGAAGGGTCTTTGCCAAACTCTTTCTATGAGGCTTCAATAACCTTGATCCCCAAGCCACACAAAGATACAACTAAGAAAGAGAACTTCAGACCAATATCCCTCATGAACATTGATGCAAAAATACTCAATAAAATACTGGCAAATCGGATCCAAGAACACATCAAAACAATCATTCACCACGATCAAGTAGGTTTCATCCCAGGAATGCAGGGATGGTTCAACATACGAAAATCCATCAACGTAATCCACCATATAAACAAGCTGAAAAACAAAAATCACATGATCATCTCACTAGATGCTGAAAAAGCCTTTGACAAAATCCAACACCCCTTCATGATAAAGGTCTTGGAGAGATCTGGGATAACAGGGACATACTTAAACATAATAAAAGCTATATACAGTAAACCAACAGCCAACATCAAACTAAATGGACAGAAACTCAACGCAATTCCTCTAAAATCAGGAACAAAACAAGGCTGTCCACTCTCTCCATACCTTTTCAACATGGTACTTGAAGTTCTAGCTATTGCCATACGACAACAAAGGGGGATCAAGGGGATACAAATTGGGAAGGAAGAGGTCAAACTTTCACTGTTTGCAGACGATATGATAGTTTACATCAATGACCCAAAGAACTCTACCAGGGAACTCTTACAGCTGATTAACACCTTCAGCAAAGTGGCAGGCTACAAGATCAACTCAAGAAAATCAGTAGCCCTACTATATACAGATGATAAAAGGGCTGAAAGAGAAATCAGAGAAACATCACCCTTTACAATTGCCACAAACAACATAAAATACCTTGGGGTAACGCTAACCAAACAAGTGAAAGACCTGTATCGTAAGAACTTTGAATCTTTAAAGAAAGAAATTAAAGAAGCCCTCAGAAAATGGAAAGATCTCCCATGCTCTTGGATAGGTAGGATCAATGTAGTAAAAATGGCAATCCTGCCAAAAGCAATCTACAGATTCAATGCAATCCCCATTAAAATCCCAGCACAGTTCTTCACAGACCTTGAAAGAACAATAATCAATTTTGTATGGAAAAACAAAAGACCCAGGATAGCCAAAACAACCCTGTTCAACAAGGCAACGTCCGGAGGCATCACCATCCCTGACCTCAAGCTCTATTATAGAGCTATAGTCCTGAAAACAGCTTGGTATTGGCACAAAAATAGACAGGTAGACCAATGGAATCGAATTGAAAATCCGGGTATTAACCCACACACGTACGAACATCTGATCTTTGACAAAGAAGCTAAAAATATACAATGGAATAAAGAAAGCATCTTCAACAAATGGTGCTGGCATAATTGGAGACTGGCATGTAGAAGAATGCAGATCGATCCATGTCTATCGCCATGCACAAAACTTAAGTCCAAATGGATCAAAGACCTCAACATAAATCCAGCCACACTGAACCTCTTAGAAGAGAAAGTGGGTGGTACCCTTGAACGAATTGGTACAGGAGACAGCTTCCTGAACATAACACCAGTAGCACAGGCAGTAAGATCAACAATTAATAAATGGGACCTACTGAAACTGAGAAGCTTCTGTAAGGCAAAGGACACAGTCAGCAAGACAAAAAGGCAGCCCACAGAATGGGAAAAATATTCACTAATCCCACATCTGACAGAGGGTTGATCTCCAAAATTTACAAAGAACTCAAGAAGCAAGTCTCCAAAACACCAAAGGACCCTATTAAAAAGTGGGCTGCAGAACTAAATAGAGAGTTTTCAATAGAGGAGTCTAAAATGGCTGAGAGGCACTTGAGAAAGTGCTCAACATCCTTAGCCATCCGGGAAATGCAAATCAAAACAACTCTCAGATACCATCTCACCCCTGTCAG